GGTGCGGTAGTTTGAACATTCTTTGGCATTGCCCTTCTTTGGAATTGGAATGTAAACTGACCTTTTCCAATCCTGTGGCCACTGCTGAGTTTTGCAAATGTGTTGGCATATTGAGTGTAGCACTTTAACTGTGCATTGTCTTTTAGGATGTTGAATAGCTCAGCTGGAATACTGTCACCTCCACTAGCTTTGTTGTTGCTCAGACTTCCTAAGGCCCATTTGACTTCACATTCCAGGATGTCTGGCTCCAGCTCAGTGACCACCCCATTGTGGTTAACAGGGATGTTAAGCTCTTTCTTGTGCAGTTCTTCTGTGTAATCCTGCCACCTCTTCTTAATCTCTTCTGCCTCCGTTAGGTCCCTGCCTTTATCATGCCCATCTTTTGACCCTTTTGGTCCTTTATCATGCCCATCTTTGCATGAAACGTTCCCTTCATATCTCCAATTTTCTTGAAGAGATCTCTGGTCCTCCCTGTTCTATTGTTTTCTTCATTTTTTTTCGCATTTAAGAAGGCATTCTTATCTCTTCTTCCTATTCTCTGGAATTCTCCATTCAATTGGGTGTATCTTTCTTGTTCTCCCTTGCCCTTCACTTCCATTCTTTCCTCAGCTATCTGTAAAGCTTCCTCAGACAGCCATTTTGCTTTCTTGCATTTCTTTTTCTTTAGGATGGTTTTAGTTGCTACCTCTTGTACAATGTTGTGAACCTCTGTCCGTAGTTCTTCAGGTACTCTGTCTGTCAGATTTAATTCCTTAATCTATTTGTCACCTCTACTGTAAATTCATCAGGGATACGATTTAGGCCATACCTGAGTGGCCTAGTGGTTTTCCCTATTTTCTTCAATTTAAGCCTAAATTTTGCAACAAGACCTCATGACCTGAGCCACAGTCAGCTCCTGGTCTAGTTTTTACTGACTGTATAGAGCTTTTCCATCTTTGACTGCAGAGCACATAGTCAATCTGATTTCTGTGTTGACCATCTGGTGATGTCCATGACTTTTTTTGCCTTTACTGTAATACTAGTTCAGAGCAGGAAGGGGGCTGTAGATTCCTATGATCTTTACCTTGAAGAGGCAGCTGGTACAGTTCTTTCCATACCAATTGTGATCGGGAAGCAGGGAGCGCTTCAGTTCTCAGTTCCAAAGTCAGAGTCAGAATTAGGAATCCAAAATATCCTATGGCACTTTGGATAATGTTTAGGGGCCATATATCATTTACAAATATATAACTAGTCCTGTCAATCTCTGCAAAAGGTATAATGTTTCTCTACAGATTTCTCACTGTTGGTACGCTGGTTTATTCATGCAAGCAATAATTTGTATCCCTCATAATGATGTACTTGAATCAACACCCACAGAGAGATGCTTTAGTAATTTAGACGTCCGACAAGTAGGGATGAGTGAAAAATTAGTTTGGTTCATGTGCATTTCAGTGCAGATTTACCAAATCTATACTCCTTGAACATAAACAAGAACCAGGACATAATTCACCATTGAAACTGTACATTTGCAAAGTTTGCAATGCAGTTCCTCACCAAAAATATGCATAAAAGTTCCCAATTTTCATATTTAAATGTGCACAAATTTGCTTTATTCATTGGAAAAAATACTTTTGAAAAAGTGTGCACAAAACAATGCGTTTTGAGAAAATATTTGCAAAATTTTGTATTTTTTACAAAGTGTTTAATTGCAATCTGAATATAATTGTGCTTGATAGATTAACCCATCACTACTGATTGGCTAACTCAGGAATGTTCCTTCAAAGGTCAATTTGGATATTCACTGAGATAGCAGAGGGCAATTGGCAAGTATGTGTACTTCCTACCAAGCATGCCATAGTACATGCTCCTCATTCATGGATTCTTCCCCACTTTTTCAGAAAGAAAGATCATGGGAATCAAACTCTGTGTTTACTGCAATATCACATGTCATATTATCAGTAAGAGACACAGATAGATGTTTGGTATAAGTCGTGGTATATAAATTATGTAAAAAAACTTTTAAACAAATGTTTGCTATCCTGTTGCACACCGAGAACACTAGGTTTAGTAAATGTGTGAATCTTCCTTGTGACTGGATGAAACATGGAAGAAATTAATCTGTTTCTTAGAATGCAGGGATTTTGATAAACTATGAAGGGTTCAAGAGCTTATACTCTTTTTGTATTGATAAGAGTTTCTTCCTGCTCATAAAATAGATATGTCATTGTGTTCATAGCTGTTGTCCTGGCAACTTTCAGTACACACTTAAATAGTGTTTTGATGACAAAAGCAGCCCGTTCTGTTATCTTGGATGTTTCCTTATCCATTCCTGACACACAAATGCCACAGGTAAATTGTTCCTAGCTTGTAATTCTTTCTTTTTTGTTTTTAAATTATAGGTTGCTACAAGTCTTGCCTTCAGAGTCATCAAACAGAGAATTATCTCTTATTTCCACAAACCTCAATATCAGGTGCAAGACACTTTCTGGTTTTTAAGAAACAGGATAAATAGGCAGGGAAAGTTAACTTATTATAAATATTAAAACATTTATATTTATACTGCCTTATCTCTGAAGATTTCAAAGTGGCTTACAGCCAAGTCCATAATTTTATTATCAAAAATAGCCTTCTAGTTTATAGCACAACATAAACATGGAAACAGAAGCAGAATTTTCCATTACTTAGTAATTATTTAGAGCACAATCCTATAGAGTTCCAATATCGTCTGGAGGTGGCATATGATTATTTAGAAAGTAAACAAATCTGGAAAAATGACTGTCCAGAAGAAATACATGGCACAAGGCACTGGGGTGGCAGAGATTGCCACTGCCATGCCTTGCTTTCTCTATGTCCCTATCTATATGCAATGGCCCAGCTCTAGCAACTCCACATGCTTACTTATGTAAGATGAATAACAAAAACTGTGAGGGTAAGTGGCATGCTGTGTCTTTAATGCAGTGCAGTGCGTAGTTTAGCCCTGAGGAATCAGATATGAGTGCACAAGGACATGCAGAGCTGCTTCACCCATTGAAATGTAAAGGAAAGCCCTTATAGATGGAAGAGCTCACAGCTCACATATAAGAAATCAGTGCATTAAGACAATTACCTGCAGTCCTGAAGTGAGTTACACATGGTTTATCCTAGTGAAACTAGCAACACTCATGTATGTGTAACAAAAAGCTACAGGAATACTTTTAAATATGTTATGAGATGTAATGCTATTCTTTTTGTAATAATTCAGAAGACATAAATGCAGTTTCCATATGGAGTATAGCTACAGGATTATATCTTTGTTAAAAACTTAATTGCAGGACTAATAAATGCTAAAGTGAGTTTCCGTTTCTGATCATCCATGGCCAAGATCAGTTTTCCACAGTGCTGTGGGTCTTCTAAGAATAAATGAATGTATTAATAAGTAAATATGAAGATAAGAAGAAGCAAATAGGATCAGACCAAGAGTCCCTCTAGTCCAGCTTTCTATTCACACAGTGGAAACCCAGAGCAGGTCATAAATGAAACAGTACCTTTTCTTAGCAATTGGTGTACGTGAGCATACTGCCTCTGATTCTGAAGGAAGCATACATTCCTCGGGACTATCAGAAAACCTTCTCTGTGAACTTGTCCAATCCTCCTTTAAGACTGTCTAAATTGGTGATGATTGCTATATCTTGTAAAAGTGAATTGCACAGCTTAACTATGCACTTATCCTAAATCTACACCAATAAGCTTCATGTCATGACCTTGGGGTTCTAGTATTTTAAGAGAGGGGAAAAGGGCTCCCTATCCACTCTCTTCAATCAATCCTCCCTTAATTCAACTTTTTTCTAAGTGAAACCATTTCTTATAAGAGGATTGTTCCAGCCCCTTGATCATTTCAGTTGCACATTTTAGGGATAGTGACCAGAAATATATACAGCATTCTAAGTCTGGTTGCAGCATATATTTATATAAGGGCAATATGATCGTGGCAGTTTTATTTTCAATTCCTTCGCTAATTATGGCTAACATGGGATTTGCCCTTTTCAAAGGAGCTGCACAATGTATTGTACATTTTCACTGAGATGACAATCACAGCTCCAAGTTCTTTAATTTTGTCAGCCATTGCTAGCTCACATCACATCAGCTTATGCATGAAGTTGGGATTTTTTGCCCCAATATGCATTATTTTACACTTGCTTACAATGAACTGCATTTTCCCATTTTTATGCTCATTCCCTCACCTTGGAGAGATCCATTTGGAACTTTTCATAGTACCTTTTCTGAACTGCCCTAAATAACTTAGTGTCATCAGCAAACATTGCCACTTCACTGCTCACTCCTAATTCCACATCTATGAATAAATGATTCACCCCAGAATAAGATGAATTGCTAGAAAACTTTCAGTTAGCAAACATATGTATGAGCAACATACTGCTCAGATATTTCCCTATTTCCACTAAATATGCTTAAAGAATCAAAATATAATACTATTATGTTATTATATTGACTGTGGAACATGAAGGAATAATATAAAGACTGTAGGTTTATTCAGTTCAAAACTTCAGTTTGTTTTTAACATATTGTTTTGCTCTTTTATCTGTTTTATACTTTGCTCCAAAAATTCCATTCTGGAAAATAATATATGTGTCTATGTATCTATGTTAAAATTAATAAATAATAAAAATAACATTCCTATATGCCTTCAGGCTATTGGATCATATAGAAATTTTAAACATAAAATAGAACAGAATAAAATAAATATGCATATAAATAAGCTCAGGTTACAAAAGGTCTGTGGCCCTACAAAATAAAAAGGATGAAAAATATCGCTAAATGGTGACCAGGGGGTGGAAAGTTTCCTTGAATGTAGCTTCATGATAAAGAGTGATGGCATCTGTAACAGCCAAGAATGATATCTAAGTCACAAAGATAGCTAGTACAAGAAGTATCCAATCTGAACAGCAGAATATAAGGCAAGAAAGAGAGAACTGTGTATTCAACATTAAGGATTTTTTTGCATGAGAAAAAGAAAAAAAACTTACACTGGTTGTGTAAGCTGCTTCAGGGTCATCCTCTAATACCCGTGATAATCCAAAATCAGAGACTTTACACATGAGATTACTGTTGACCAAAATATTCCGAGCTGCCAAGTCTCGATGTACATAGCCCATATCCGAGAGGTATTTCATGCCAGAAGCAATTCCACGTAGCATACCAACCAGCTGGATGACAGTGAAGTGGCCATCATGCTTCTGAAAGGAAGGCAGAGTATGATCTACATAAAATTTTCATTTTCAAATTTTGCTCAAATTTACTCACGTTTCTTCAATTTATGTTGCAAAAATGTACCCTCAAAAGGAAACTAGCTTCTTCAAGATTACTACAAACCCTGTGGTAGCTGGTAACATCTGAAATAGGTTTAGAACACCCTTATGTACTAACCCAGAAGCAAAACATTCATCTAGTTTTAGTCCATCTAGCTCGGTACTGTCAACACTGACCAACTGCAACTCTCCTGCATTGCAAGCAGGGTTCTTTCCTGTCCCGACTGAGAGAAGCAGGAGATTGATGCTAGACCCTTCTACATGCAAAACATGTTGTCTATTACTGAGTTATAGCCTCTTCCTTCAATCCTATTCCCATGATAGTTTGCAAACTGTATATAACAATTTAAAAGCAAATACAACATAATAAAGTCCACAAACCATAAATGTTAGCCTAAAACTGTCAGCAGGATCAAACATTTATCTGAAAAGCTCAGAATTTTTTTAAAAAGTTTCTGCCTGGCATCAAAAGGATGATAAGGTAGGTGACAACTAAACCTCTCTGAGGAAAACGTCCCACAACTGAGGTGCCAGTATAGAAGAGACCCTCTCTCTGGTAGCCACTCGCTGCACTCAGAAGGTGCATAGCTGTGGGACGCCCTCCAATGAAGGGGTAGGAACGTATAGATGGTCTTCTATGTACCCTTTACTCAAAATGTGAAGTGCTTAGACTACCATGTCTTTACAATACCCCCAGCTGTCATTCAGGATTATACACTCCTTTCTGAATAAGAAGAGGATGAGTCAACAATATTTGTAGCTCAATTTTTGGCAAGCCGTTCTAAAGCAATAGTATCTTAGATATTGAAACTTTGTTATATAAAGAAGCTCTTAAGAATAACATTACTATATTCACCAGATAAAACTATGGTAAAATAAGAAAGATAATGATGTGTTCTAAATTAGAAGTTATCCCTTCTCCAAATATGTCCCAACAAACTTTTAATTAAAGATATACTGAGAAAATTAGAAGTGTATGTGTAAAGAATCCTAAAGAACAGATACACTTTTCTCCAAAGTTACCTAATTATGATGTATCCATGGAAATGATGTTAGAAATACATCTCAAGGAGGAAAGTTTTGGTGTTATTAGCTTTTTATATTACAATTCCATTTTTGGATAGAGTACTGTTTGCTTAAGAACTGCTTTCAGTGGTTTTTGAAATTAAATCATGACTTTAAAAATGTTTACGCGAGCCAAAAATATGGGTTGTATCCAGATGTATACAATTGCTTGTATCCCACTGGTGTCCCATCACTGATGGAAGGCTTTTTATTTGTGGAGTTATTCATGGGATGGGGAGGGTTAGCAGAGGTCCTCTTCAGCAGTTCCTCATCCACACTGCATTCCTCCATGCTCCAGAGGTTGAGGGGCTCTTCTGAACAGTGTGAGAAATGGCATGGGAGACTTGCACTGCAGGGGAAGGGGGAGTGAGCTGAAGGCAACCTTTCCTTTAGGGAAGCATCTTCTGGATCAAAGAACTTACCATCATCAAAGGGTCACCAGCTGGATATAACCCATTACTTTTAAGAAGTAGTCCTTACAGTGAAGCCTCAAACATACTATGAGGGAATAAGCAGTTAACAGTGACTCTTACTTCTAAGTACACATTCCTAGGATTGCATTGCAGGTTAAAGCACACATTGAAAACAATGCCATTAATGAAAAGAAAGTTGATTAATAAATTCTTATAATTGAACAAATAAGAAAAAACACTTAAGTTTATGTAATATACAGCACAGCTGGAACACTTCCCTTTCCACTTAAGATCAATTGGCAAATGAAGCTAAAGTGGTGCACAGCAGAAGGATTAAGAACACAGACAGTTTAAATAGCAATTTCAGCACAGCAGGTACTTTTCTTCTTCTGGAACAAGAAATAAAAGCTTAGGTCTTATTGTTAGCTTACTAACTACAGTTTCAGACATGCCAATAACAAGCAAGTCAAATTACTTACTTGGCATGGTTTAAAATAGCATTATATTTTTGTCTAGCCAGACAATAGTGCTGCTTTATACAAAACTTAGGTAAATTTATATTTGTGACTCTTGTCTCCTAATTTCTTCCCCTGCTTCATGGCAAAATGTATTCAGGACTCAATGGATTTCCATTGAGTTTTTGTTTTGTTTTCTGTTTTTTGCTTGGAAGCTTAACTCCAAGTACTGGAATTTTAGAGCGTATCGTCATGAAGTCCAAGTACTAGAATTTTACATGGTTATTTAAAAACAGTTTCATGGTATGACTGCATTTTTAAAACATTAAGCCAGGAAGTTTGCTGCTGTCTGTAGAGTAACAGGTACCCATGCAGAAGTATACCCTATTCCAAACCTACAAATTTTTAGTAGTTTTAGCCTTACCCAAATCACTTTTGGGACAAAGCCCAAAATTTGTTCTTCAGTGGAGCAGAAAGGGGGCAAACCAAAAAAGATCTTGCAGAAAATAGGGTGTGTATCCAGAAAAACACCCCCTTCTCAGGCAAGGATTCCTTGTACATTTTCTCTTATGTGACTCTCCTAGGCTATATTCAGAGTAGGTACCTGATGCCCTGTGACAGTAAGCATCACCATTCACACTGCCCCAGCCAAACCCTGAAATTCATGCAGTTGTGCTTAGGCAAACAAGTAGTGTTTATGCAAATAAGCAACTGTGATTTAAAACATTTTCAAAAAGCAATTTTTGCTCACATTTATGCTGACCCCCTCCCCCACAAAAAAGCTGGACAGAAGCCCACATTCAATAAACTGAACAAAGGTTTCCCAGTATCACCTTCTAGAACCTCTCCCAAAAGCCACTAGAAGTGGTGCTCCCAAGCCCCATTACAGGCAAACAGCTTAGGATCAGGATTTTTAGAACAGAGTCACTTTCCAGAGGTCAATGGGATATATTATTGGTATCTGTGACCCACTACAGTACTACTTTAGAAAATGTAAACTGCTTAATTTCTTAAATTACTTAATTCTTTTATTAATTCTACTGAATTATCTAGATTTAAGTGATACATTTTTAGAAACTCTCTTTTGCTATTTCAGGCAGTCTTCTTTTGGTAAACATAGATCATCATTGTTATTATTGTATTACATTTCAGAAATCATTCTCTGCATCTATAAGTGCTTCAGAATCTTACACTTGCCTACACATACACTCAGAGTATATAATTTTATCTGACCATCCTTACTCCAACTGTTCATATTCTAAGTGCTGCTTTTGGTAATCCCATGCTTGGCTTTCACATCATGTTGTGTTATATCCTCAATCAGAATTGACTGACTTTTCCCAGCCTTCAAATTTCTTCCTCATCTCTTATGCCTCAAATGATTTCAGTGGTTCCTTTATTCCTTCATTATCTTCAAATGGTGCTGTTTTCCAAGTACACTGTTTTGTCTTATCTGATTTTTACAGCCAATGTTCCTCAACTGAAACATACAATTAGTAGCAGTTCTTGAGTTCTACAGGGATGTTCAACCTTCTTCAGCCTGAGGACTGAAAGAGGTTTTGCAGGGGCCTTTTTGTGGGGGGGTGGTCATCATATCCCCATGGAGACAGGGCCAAAAGCAAAAGGGGTGAGAGGCAAATCATATACAAAATACCAGCACATTTTATCTTAAAGGTGTTACTGCTGGTGTTACTTATGCTCATAAGGGTCAGACTGAGACCCCAGTCACTTTGGATTTAGATCATAAGCCTGAAGTTTGACACCTTCTCTCTATTGGACACAAATGGGTCCTCTTGTTTTTTAAATCACTTATTTTGGTGACAGTTTTACTGAAATCTGACTTAAACAGGTTTGAAATCAATGTAGTGTTGGGGAGAAGAGCGACTTGGAGCAGGGATTTGGAGCAGGAATAGAAAGGGTTAGGTACCTCTCACCCCACCAGCTCTCTGCTCTCAGCTGTCTACTCACACTTTAAACAAAAATTGACTTTTTTTTTTCAAATGAGGGCCATTAGTTCTAGTTATAATGCATTTGCATGTCACACCTAGCTTGGCTCTAAGCTTCACCTACTAACAACCTTCCAGTTAATTAAAAAACCCTAGTGTTAACCCCTGGATAAGCTCTAGTAACCTCAATCAAGAGATGACATAGAAGCAATAAAGGAAGGGTTCTATATTCTAAGACAAATCAACAAAGATGACACAATTAACTGTCTTGGCTATGAAATGATTGCTGAAGAGGGGTCAGTTACAAATACATTCAAAACAACTCCAAAATGGCTAAAACAATGTTCTCTAGCAGAGTTCCATTCCGGCATCAATTTTAACGCCTTTCCATATGATATCTACATGGCAACTGAAGACCTTTCCTGCAGCCATAGTGGTATATATTCTTTAGTATACTGTAGGAAGGCTGGGTCCACATAACATGGCAAACAACCCTGTGCTGTTTCACAGCATACTGAATTTTGCTTGGACCAACTGGTCAGACAGTCTCATGGTTCAGAGTGTACTGAAATTTCTGCTCACCCCATTCTGACCTCCTGGCATCACCATGCATCCTGGCAGCCCCCATGAGCAAAATCCCCATCCTTTCGCTGTTCTTGCTGATAGGTTGCAGCAGCCTCCTCCAGACTGACTAGGTTGTTGTCCTGAGGCAGGTTCCCCTCTTCTCTCTCCTGAGTGTACCTGCATGTCTGTGGTCATTCCCAGCTGCTAAGACTCCCCCTTTGTAACTGCAAATAAAGTTTCACCATTATGCCCTCTCCTTTCTTGTATTTTTGCACTCTCTTTCTGTTTTCAAAAGTAAACAGGGAGACAGACACCTCTCTAAACTATTGGGCGGGGGGAGGGGAGAGAAGAAAGGAATGATGGAATGATGCATCTATGGCTAGACTGCTGGGAGTAGTAGAGATTTTAGGGTAGAAGCAGCCACTTGCCTGGCAACCTTTGCAAGAAGATCCTACTGTGTTTCCTTATCAGCAATTGGTAAAATG